GGGAAAATTAATGCTGTCGGTCGAAGGACTCCAATCTAGGCCCAGCGTATTTGTAGACTGACTCAATGTCAGGTTGCCGGATGACTGGACAACGTCTGAAGGCAGTAAAGAAGGTAAGTTGGATCGGTACTTACGCAAGTCAAAACCAGCCATAGAAAGAGCCACATGTGTTGCTTTCTGTATAGACCGTAATTGATCTTCATCATCGCTAGAAGTTAGTAAGTCATCAACATATATGTCCTCCTGTATGACTGCCTTAATAACGTCATAGTCACACTCCTCGCCCACTTGCCAGAGACACCTGGTGGCAAGGAAACTAGCGCTAGCAAATCCGTAGGTGACCGTGTTAAGCCTGAGTGTTTGTAATGGTTTGTCCTCCGCATCACGCCATAAAATCAGCTGTAGGTTTCGGTCAGACTCATCTATTAAAACCTGCCGGTACATTTTTTCAATATCCGCTGACAACACATAACGATATTGCCGGAACCGGATGAGGATATTGAAAAGAGAGTCTTGAACTGTAGGGCCTATCATTTGAATGTCGTTTATAGACAAACCAGATGAAGTGCGAGCTGATGCGTCAAAAACGACGCGTAGACGTGTTGACTCACTGTCTTCACGAATGACAGGATGATGCGGAACAAAATAGGCAAGCTCAGGTCGGTCTACCTCAGATATTGCTAGATGTCCTAGTTTGCGATACTCCTCAATGAAATCAACATAGGCGGACTTAAGTTCCGGTTGCTTGCGAAAGCGACGTTCCAGGTTTATAAATCGCCGCCTGGCTATGAAATAGAAAGTGCCTAGGCAGTCTGGTTTGGCGATCAATGGCAGCTTGACACAAAAACGACCTTCTTCAGTGCGTTTTGTGTGCTGTAAAAAATGTTGTTCGCAAGCTTTCTCTTGGTCTGTAAGAAGGGGCCTTTGTGGCAAGCTTTCAAGCTCCCAAAACCTCTTCAAATCATTGTGAAGCTCAACTAAAGTATTGTTGCTTTCAATACTTACAAAATTACATTTCACTGGGGAATTTAAATTGAGATTGTCATTTTGAATATAATGCATGGGACCTGCGATAAGCCATCCTAATTTAGACTCATGTAGAATAGGATTTCCTTTGCCTAAAGAGTGCTGTTTGGTTCCAATAATGGACCAAAATAGGTCAGCACCGATGAGCAGTCCTATGTCAGACGGCTCATAAAAGCTGGGGTCTGCTAATGCAAAGGACTTCAGGTTAAGGTGTGTAATAGACACAAGAGACTTAGGTATCTTACCTGATATTTGGGGTATGACTAAACATGACGTCATAACGCTGAAAGAACCTACCTTTGAATGAATTCGAACATTGCAACGTTCAGCATTAAGCTTGACAATAGTGTTACATATGCCGACTACATTCCTAACATCAGACGTGGAAGAAGTTAAATTTAACTTTGATTTAAGTGATTCTGTAATAAAGCTAGACTGACTACCGTTGTCTAAGAGAGCTTTAGTGGTAATGTAATTGATTGTTTTGGGATTAAAAATATCAACCAAAGCCGTACATAGTAGTGTCTCAGAAGCAGAAACAGCTGACATTGAAACTGGCTCAGAGACTGCAACATTAGTGACTGCCACATTGGTATCAGAATCCGTAGGTTTGTGTAAAAGGTGTTGTGACGTTTTTTGCATATCTTGCACGTACCTGGAAGCTTGCATGCGCGCGTATTATGCCCTTTGCGCAAACAGTTGGGACACAACTTTAGCTCGGACACTAATGAAAGTCTATCATCAATAGATTTCGATTGAAATTGTGAGCACTCATAATTACGATGACCTTGACCACAGAAAATACACTTGTGAGGGGCAGTTGCTGATGAGTCGCCCTGCTCAGCGCTATCGAATGACTTAGTATGAGAAACGGGATTTTGTTTGACGCCTTGATTGTGATTCGGGTTTGACTTTATATTTTTGTCTTGTTTACTGCGATAAACAGACTGTAAAACTTCAGCGCGGCCCTTAATAAAAGTCATGAAATCATCTAGGCTAGGCATATCCGAAGCATTAACATTAGCTTGAATGTACTCCTCCCATTTAACACGCGTGTTGCTGTCTAATTTCGCTGAGACTATGAATATGATCAGGGTATCCCAATGATCAGTTGGCTGTTTTAAAGTATTTAAAGCACGTAGGTTTTTTGTGACGTGGTCTACTAGAAATCTTAATGACTTGTCAGACTCACGCAACGGCTCAATATTAAACAAAGACTTCAAATGATTATTTATTAATTGACGAATATTATTAAAACGCTCACAAAGAAGACTCCATGCCTCAGGATAATTATTGTCGCAAACTTCTAAATTACATATTACACGAGCAGCTTCACCTTCTAGATAGGAATTTAAATAATGAAATTTGTGTATATTTTTTATTTTTGTATTATTATGTATCAGAGAACTGAACGTATCACGAAATTCCAACCATTTGTTGAACGTACCATCAAACTTATTAATTTTAATGACTGGTAAACGAAAGCCGATAACTTCGTGATCATCTTCATCAGCTGTGTAAATACTGCTATGCTGAAGCGACGACTTTTTTGTCATACTGCTTACGGAAATAACTTCCTGAGCCAATGCGATCGAATTGTGGAAAGCTTGTTCGATAACTTCTCTGGTATCCAATTCTAAGCTTAAATTATTTTCCTCCAATGCTTCAATCTGATTTTGCACGCTATCGAATTCGCCAAATAAAGTCTCAAGTTTAACTAATCGCTGCGATAGCACGCTAACTTCCGTAGGAGTAAGCTTTTTACCTTTTAATTCTTCTAAATGGTTATTAAATTTCGTAACACGGCCTCTAATTGAAGCGCGTTTTAAATTAAGAGTTTTGTACTTTGCCTCCATACTAGCAAAGTTAACGCGCAGACAATCAAAACAACTAGTTATGCGCTGTACTAATCAAATAAATAAGAATTGCATACAATACGTTCCTCGCTTCGTGGCCGCTGTGACGGAAACCGGTTCAAAATCAGCAGAAGCGCGGTGAAAGGTGGGATTGATGACGCGCGACGCCCGCGGTCCAGTACCACGACGTGAGCCCGCAGTGCTGGCAGTGACACGGGATGCGATGATAGTCTCGAGCGACCGCTGCACCGTAGCTGAAATTGATTGTTGGAATGCTTTGCAGATATCTCCGTACATAAAATAATAACGGGAAGCAAGGTTGATCGTAAATTTAATTGATTTGTGCAAATAATGGTTTAATTAGCGTAATATAGGGCTTAGCGAATGATTATGCTATAGTGATGACCAATCTATTTGCGTGCATAAACAGCTAACAGTGAACAGCGAGAAGTGAATTTACTTGCATTGAGGAGTTAAGCTCAAATTTTTGCGTAGCTATGTACATAGTATGTGTATGCTTACGTTTAAAGAAATAGGTTCAGCTATTTAAATTCTAACTATTTAACAGTGGCTACTAACTAATTAAATACTAGTGAAGACTTTCAAGTCGTAAAATAATTTGAAAAATAATTAATAATTTGGCAGCTTGAAAAATAGCACTGATTACTTAGCAAATGATGCGGCGAAATAATAGTAAGAAATAATAGAAAATTAGCTGATAGGCAAGCAAATAGGTGTAAATAGGTGATTTTAACTCCTTAGGTATGTAGATTGTAGGTAGGTTTAACTAGGTAATTCTTTTAGGATTGTTTTAATAGGTATTTTATTTGGTAGGATTATTGAGTAGGAATAGTTTATTTAGATTAGCAGTTTTATATACGAAAGGGTATAAGATAGACAAGGAATATAAAGGATGTTGCTTAAGAATAGGTAGGCAGGGTAAGGCAACAAAAATAGGACTAGATTCCTTGTTTCCCTGTTCACACAAATAGAATTTTTAGGAATAGTGGGACACGAAGAGGTAAAATAATAGGAACGGGCTCACTTTTAGTTGGCAAAAACCGCTGATGTGGCGCGTAGACTCCGCTGGACCTCAGCTTGGCCGGTTCTCAATAGCTGTCCTCTTGTCTTTTCTCCGCTCCAGATGAATTCTTCTTGACCGCTTTGTTGTTCTTAGGACTCGGGATGGTACGCCAATTTAATAATCTTCTTAGCTGATGTAGTAGATCGGCGTGGCTTCCTTTGTTCTCGTAGCTCGTAGTACTTGCGTTCGCGACGTTGTAAACGCGGGGTAAGTGCTACGACCTTTGGACCGTATTACGCGGCGAAATCGGAATTCGATATTTTAATTTATCACGGTCGCCACTATGTTCAGTTAGGGAACATGAATAAAATAGGCGACTCACACGATAGGCAAATTGTATATTTAAAAGGAATGAAAAATACAAAATATTTGGTGGCGATCGGGTCGCGAGCTATCGGCAAGTGCCGGTCTTAGGCGCGGTGGTGAGAAACCCCCCGCACTTCACATACTCCCCGCAAACACCGTCGGTGCTGTCGTAACGGCGCCGACAGCCTATAGACAGATATAATGTACCCTATATGATAGATACCGTATACTATTTCTCATGAATATGGCTATAATATTCAAAAATAATTTCTGACGTCCAGAAAATTAGCGTGTTTAAAGAAACAAAAAAACTCTTCAGCATATTATAAGCATATGTGTATAGACGTCGTGGATTGTCGCATTTTCTGGTCAAATTAGCGACCACAAAAAAGTGACTAATATTACTATGATACGGCAAATCTAGGAGCCCGTTTCATAATAAACAGACGTCGAATGGATGTAGTACGATAGATGGTGGTGCGACTAAAATTAAATTTACGAAGCGGTATGTCCAGTAACGAGCACACATTACGCCGCATTAAATCATGAAGACTTTATTCGCATATCGAATCAATATCCTCCACATTGGCTCAATATACCAGCCGTTTTTACATCACTGTCGTGCCAATCAATCACGGCACTCTGTTTTTTTTAATTTATGTTGTAATAGAAAAAAAATATTCACTATATGTGTAATTGTTATATGTGTTTTTATTATAGGTATGTAGCAATAGTGAAACCACTACAGCACAGGCTTAGCAGAAAAGTAGCGCGTGCAGCGCTATTTACTGTGTGGAGTTCCAGCGCTTTACTTGCTTTGCCGACACTGATTTATTCCGACACTTATACAAAAAAGTAAGTTAAAAACTGTTCTTATCATATATTGGCCTGTTACAACGAACAAAGATTTTTTTATAAGATTATGGTGACAAACAAGCACACAGCCCATCTATGCTCTACTAAGAATCAAAATGCAGATATGTTGTCACCCCTGAGGACTAAGATAGAATGCCTCGTTTCCAGTAAAAAAGGTCTGCGGTTCTCTACACTCACCATACGAAACACCGCAGTGTTAAGCTGCTATTTTACGCTGGGAGAATCTGTGAGAGCGTGGTCCATCCCCGGTCGAGCCGACCCATTCGTGCTACAGCTATACTACTAATATAGCTGCAGCATGGCTTTACCACGTTAAAATAATGTATATGAAGCAAAATGAAGTAAATTCTATCTAGGATTTACTTCATATTATAGGTCCCCTTCTTTTCTAGTTGTATAAAATTATATCAAGTAGATACTAGCATTACACTCGGGAATATTGTGAAATGGTTAAACCGTAATCAAATAAGTATTTAGTTGTCAAAAACTCATGTTATACAGTTTTATTCCAAATTTCAAAAACCGTTACCACTAAAAGAATATGAGTCAGAAATAATAGAGGAGGTACATTGAACAAAATTCTCGAGCTTAACTGTTGACACTCATTGTAGCTGGGAACCACACTAGAATGAGATAAATTTGTCTACCCTTTAAGAAAAATAATTTCTAACACAATTTAAAGCTTTTAAAAAGTTACTTCGCAAACATCTGCTCTATAAAATATCTTATAGAGCGGATGTTTGCGAAGTAACTTTTTAAAAGCTTTAATATAAGGGATTTCCGTAAAGTAACGCCTGATTCTATTAATTATATCTAACACAATTGTTAAATCAGGATTGAGGGTATACCATGGATATGCATAATCAATTTTGGCCTATGGTATAATTTTATGGAGCAACACCCCAAATATCCGCAGGGTATTTAAAATTCAAAAAAAAAATCATTAGAGCTTTCTGTTATTTCTGCTTCTTTCTACTTTACAAACTTTTCAATTAATTTTGCAAAAATTGGATTAGTACAACTGATCTGTAGTTTTTCATGTTATGTATTTCATCCTTCTTGTACAATAGTTTAATCATAGTGTTTTTATTTTAATTTCGCACCAGTAACACTGGTGGATTCTCGCCTGTAAGTCATAACTTTTTACAGGTACGTAAATGGTGAACGTGAGATATGCTTCATTAAATGGCCAGACGGCAGCTACCCTACTTCTAAAACTGATTACTGGTAAGATAGCTAAATTTGTATTCCATTAATGTACAAATTAATACAAGATATCTAACAAAACTATTTCCATCCAACGGTTTTCAAAAGTTCTTATATGCTTAACGTGCTGTCAGTATGCATGATCTTTTAATTGTATTGATTGATGCGAATGACATGCAAAATACTTCTGGTTCTGACGTTTGATACACAATTCGCTTAATTTTTTATCCTGATATGCACGCATGATCTTCTTCGGATTGGCATATCATGCAACAGTTCAATGGGTCACAAAAATAAATACGTAAATGAACAAATTAAGAGAAATATTTCTTTAAACATAATTTTGTTTTGCTGCGTAGCAAGAGAACAAGAACAAATAAATCAGACTTTGAACTTCCGCTCTGAAATGCGATAAAATGATTGATGTGATATAGCATGAAAGTTAGTCATGCAGCATCATCATTTACGTAACGTATATCATGCTGCATTGCCGTTTTGAGAACTTAGAAATAGTCACATTTCTTTTTAATATAAAACAAAATACCATAAGTACACGGACGGAGTAGCCTTTGCAGTGGTATAACTGTGAGTTTTTCAAGTCACGACAAGTATATATGCTTCTTATAACCTCACAGTTTACGCTTATTATCTAAAATTAACCATGTCAAACTAATGAGTGACGCCCGAAATCTCAATTTAATGTTTGAAAGCACAACTTAAAATCATAGTAAGGTGTGCTTCTTTAATAATAAAGGTTTCAACGTGTATGAAACTCATGCTGCCATCCATAAGGTTAGATTGAACCTTCACCTTGTCCGTTAGATGGAGTTGTTAAGGATAGCAAAGTCTCGACGGAATAGAGTTTTTCTTAAAGTCAAGAGGAAACTTTCTGAGGAGAACTACTTATTCCTTAGAACAGCCAAAATTAGCTGTATCAATAACTCGTCTCAAAATTGTGAAAACACCTTATAACTTTTGGTGCTGGCAAGCCATCCACGCTAAATTGTGATCTAGTAGGATCACAATTGTCACAAACTCTACATTTCGCTTCTGTTAATGCATGGTCCCGTTCTTCATCTTTATTTCGCACCCGCTGTTTAAGATTGACTTGCGTTCTATATTTGCGGGCGTCAGCACACGTCAGTTAACGTAGATGAAATGACCTCAGCTCGAGCTGAAGAGGAAACCGGCGTGCTGTAAGACGGTATACTCTCTCCCATAATATTCTAAGTTTTTGTAAACTAATCATCCATAATATTGATTGCTCGTAGAATCTAATTCCGGTAATTTTTAGCTGTGTGTAGTGTGGCGTTGAAGAGATTTTTATTTCGTTAAATACGTTTATCAATTTTTAGCAACTTTCTTAAATAGAGAGTTTAGGTAACCGATTTAAGTTAAAATTCATAGCCCCTTACGTTTTCTTTATAGTCTGGAACATTTACTTCCTATCATGTATTTCTAAGGTCATTCTTGCCCAAACTCTTAATGTACCCATTGTTTACTATGGATATTTGTGTTATGCAGACCTGTCATAAGATCTTGATCTTGTTATTGATCTTGTAAGAATCACGCTTTTATAGATTGCCAGTTATTATCACGTCGTACCACGTATCTGTAAGAGTCTGGTTATTTACCGTTCGGGCCGACCCATTCGTGCTGCAACCATATAATAGCACCAGTGTGGCTCTACCATTTTAAAAATTTTTACTCCCGATTTTTAATAATAAATTATATTTTTATTATAGCTACAATTTGGTATTCTTGTTTGTAACTTACGTGGTCCCCATGTCAGTTATGGTATGGGCTTATGTTCAAATGAGCGCAGCGCTTCGTGGGCACGCAATTGGAGAATGCACACCCCATCAAAAGCAGATTGTTCGATCGAAAAGAAAGGTTTGTACAAGAGGCTTACTAGTAGTAGTAGATGATTGAAATTAGGTATAGTTTTTTAAATACGGTTATCTAAACAGTAGTAGTAAACAATTTCAGATTTTTGAAAACAACGTGTGAGGTATCAAAAAAGCGACGATTCAACAAAAAATTATATTGACTTCATTATGGCGACCAGACGACAACTGTTCAGTGATGTCTCAGTGATCGCGACGATAAAAACTGGTAGCGATTACAGAATGGTGAGGGGCACACTGAACCTTAATGATAAGTTGGAGAGGTTTCTTCTAATGAAGTCTACGCTCCGCCCCCTCGTGCTCTAATCCAAAGTCCCGAAACCTTTCAGCTCGAGTTCCAAAACCGTTTTCAGTGCCTAGAAGACTGCAATGCAGTGTATGATATGAATGACAAACTCGTGGAAACTGTCCATGGAGTCGGAGCTAAGAACTTTGAAGAACACAAAAACTCTCCAATCACACTCTTAATATCATGGTTGTTAGACGGGAGATGAAGCTACATTCTTCAACAGATTTGACAGCATACAGGCAACTGAGTAAACAGATCTCCAAATGCATGCGGCGGAACTTGCGCAACTTCAATACAGCTTGTATTGAAGAAGCGATCGAGCGGAACCAGGGCTCCAAAGTCTTTGCCAGAGATCTGTCTGCCAGAAAGAGCCAACTGTCAAAGCTGAAGACCGAGTGTGGCAACATCGTTTCCGGGACACCTGAGATTTTGAGTGAGATTGAGAGGTTCTATGGGCAGCTGTACACATCGTCATTGGAGTGATACGCAAATGTGAGTAACTATCCAAGAGCAAATCTTATTCGACACTACTCCGATAATACCCCGGACGTCAGTCTGAGCGAGATTAGAATGGCTCTCCAGCACCTTAAAAACGGCAAGGCCCCAGGCGGGGATGGAATTAAAGCGGAGCTTCTGAAAGCGGGTGGGAAAACCGGTACTTTAAATCCTTCAGAAGCTCTTTAATTCCATCCTCCATGGTGGGGCTACTCCGAAGACGTGGAGCAAAAGTGCGGTGGTCATGTTCTTCAAAAAAGGCGATAACGCTCTCTTGAAGAACTACACAGCGATTTCCCTTCTAAGCCGCCTCTAGGTGCTGTTTTCAAGAGTCATTTCGAATCATCTCTCACGCAGAATTGACGACTTCCAGCCTCCCGAAAAAGCCAGGGAAAGTGTTTAGTATCATAGACCACATACATGCCCTTTTGCAAATTGTACAGAAGATCGAAGAGTATAATCTTCCACTTTGCCTTGCGTATGTGGACTATGAGAAAGCCTTTGATTCCGTCGAAATTTGGGCGGTGCTGCAGTCCCTTCAGCGGGGCCAAGTTGACTGTCGGTATATCAAAGTGCTGAAGTGCTTGTACAGTAGGGCTACGATGGCTATCCGAGTATAGAATCTGAGTACGAAACCTATCCAACTGCAGAGAGGTGTAAGACAGGGTGACGTTATTTTTTTTTATAGAACACAGTTCACCTGTAGGTATGTGGTTGCTGTGGCTTTGTTGTGGATTTCCCATAGATGACAATGGACATACAAGGATAATATGGGGGAAAATCGCAACGATCGATCAATCAAAAATGTGCTATAAAAGCTACAATACTGAAATTTCAATCTAAAAAATAAATCTAAATAGTAAGGTCGAATGTAAGATAATTCAAAGGACTTTTATCAGTTATCAATAAAGTCTGCCTTGAATCGGTTTCTTTCCCTCTTCCTAAAAACACTGTGACACTTATGATACTGCTGTCATTATATTATGTACATAGTACCTAGGAACTGACTGCGACCCGAAGATATAGAAAAAAATATATTATACTTGCTGGCCAGGCAGACGTTGTTCTGCCCTTTCCGACGACACTTCCTATGAAAAAAATCCTTAAATTCGCAATAAAAAAATATTAAAGGTCACTTATCGGGATAAAAAGTATCCTTTTTTGAATTTCATTGAAATCAGTTGAATAGTTTAGGAGTTCATCGCGGACAAACAGTGTGACTCGTAATTTTTATATATAAAGATTATAATGTATATATTTGATGTTATTGTATCATATTATAATAAAGTTTTATTAATATACAGGGTTATTTTGCAACAGAATAAGTAATATATCTCAATAATTCCTGTCCTTTTTACCATTTAATTTCAAAATACGTGATAATGCCCTATTTTAACTGATTTTACTGCGCACGCACACATTCGTAAGTGTCGATCGGTAAGCAAAAACGTTGTTACCCATAAATCACATTCAATTTGGGATAATTTCAAATAAATGTAAAGGCCTTATTTACTCGTATTTTTGAAAACTGCATTAACGGTGTATCATTATTTATATATTTGAACTTAAGTTTAAAATTTGGCTACTCTTTGATAAATAACCCATTATATTACTTTAGAATCTCAAAAAATAAGAAAGTATATAAAATAAAGTCATACGAAAGTAAAAGATAATTAGTATTATATATTTTACTCGCCAGTTACGAGTATGTTAATTCCAGGGTGTTATGACAGCCTGATATTATAGTGGGTCTCTTACACTTTGTTATTATTAACAGGTCGTCCGTATGTTTGTCCTTGTGGTGGTTGTATTTGCTCTGTGCTGGCTGCCGTACCATGCATACTTTGTGCTGGTATATCATCACCAGTCCTTAGCATCAGCGCCTTTAGCCCAACACATCTATCTAGCGTTCTACTGGTTAGCGATGGCTAACTCAATGTTTAATCCCCTGATATATTACTGGATGAGCAATAAGTGAGTATACCAGTTAATTATTCTTAAAATTCTAAATATAACCTAGTGTTATTTACTGTGTATTTCTAAGTTAAACTTCAACACAATTATTTTCACAATTTCATTAACTTACACTAATTTCGAATCGATGCGATGACATTTGCGATTGCAAATTTTCCTATTTCCGTTTATACCTCTCATAGTAAACCATACAAACATACGTCTTTTATTTTTTTAATAAGTATTATCCTCCCCGATATCCTCTTAAATATTTAAATATTTAAGAGGATATCGGGGCTGCAAACAATTTTAATAATACGTTTTTAACGACCTATTAGTGTCGCGCTGTACCATAACGAAAGACAATCGAGAGAGACAACTGCACCTTCGATAAAACATGAAAAAAAATTTCAACCACATAAACAGTCGAAAGTAGAAAAATATTTTTGACCAAGAGGAGAATTAAAAACGAGAGAGATTTTACATAATTTACAAAATGTTTATTGCTAATTGATTTAACATTATACTAGTGTTTCGTAAATCGAACTAGTTTTTCATAATCCCAATAGGATAAACTAGCTGTCCGCGGCTTTAGATTAGGGCTGTAGTGGCAACTAATTGAGATACTCCTCAACTTGCTGTTATTAACATTTATAAAAGTAAACTTAGCAATAGAGTTTTTCGACTGTATAGTCAAAAGTAATTTTGGCCTGGAAACAATTCTAACTGTTAAGTATATTATATTATTACTTTTGTGTCTTTTTTACTGCTAATAATACCATTTTTGTAGGTTTAAGGTATATTTTCGCATAGTGCTCTGCTGGTGCCGTCCTGCTGAACAAGCCACACCCAATCACCTGACGAAGCAATTTGAAATGAATAGATCATTCACGGGTAAGTTTTCACTTCTTTATGTAATAATTTTCTCTAATTAGTTGTCTTTATAAGACAATTTTGATATGAGAAATGATAAAACCTGCGCTTTTACGCTATTTATAAAGTTTTAATTATCTAATTTATTCATACTAATAATAATAATAATAAGTAAATATAATCAGTAAATACAATACAATATAATACAATAAATTTATTTCAGGCATCAAGGACTTAAAAATTAAGAGCATTGTTCCATAGTAATATATACCTTAACCTAAAAATATATTCAAAACATTACACTATTTAGGAAACTTTCTTCTTTGGCGCGTCGCTGAATCGGCGTAACATTACCCCAGAGTTTCCCTCCTCGGTAGCGTGGAATGTCTCTTTATGTTTTACAGGAACCTGGAGTAAGTAGAATTTGAAGTTCATTGACCTATTAAACTCCAGACGCTTCAAATGTAAAGAGATCGGATCCTCAATGCGGCATCGGCTTCGTTCCTCCACGAAATGCAGGACGTATTCTCCCGACGTACTTTTGTCTAAACGGGTGATGTGGAGCTGTATGGTTAGGTCCACAGACGTCTTTCTCAACAAGATTAAACCCGTATTTTTTTTTAAATACTAGTAATGCTATTAAACATTACTAATATTCCCTTTAACCACTTCTGGTAATCTTAAAATGCTTGTGTTAGAAGTGGTTCACGACAGTAGTCGAGTGACGGATTTTAACCCGCGTCCTGCCATTAGGCTACTGACGCTTAGATTATCAATCTTGTTTCAGGTCACCACTGGAACTGATTTTATTTCCACATTCTTTCGCTTTCGACCACAATAGGGTGCCCGTTGTGAAGATTTTCGGGCAACATCCGCAAACGTCTTCCCTTGTTGTGAGGTTGGCTTCGACGTAGGAGTACTCAAGGAGTACTCATTAAGCCCTTGCATAAATCAATTATATAAAATTTAAGTTCAGATCACTATGGACAGTTGGTATCACTACGTTAAATACACAAAAAACAGAAAAATAAGAAAATTGTGTTTATTCCAATAAATGAACATCGCTTGGAGAGGTTTAGAAGTAATATAATAAAAAGACTCCCATCACGTTCATTTAAAAATAGTGCTAATTATTTGTATGGTACATTATTTAAAATTATAAGTTGGGAATTTAGTAGGATATTTACTTCTAAAACTTTCTCTTTTAACAAAGTTAAACAAACAAGAATTTATAAAAGTAGGCGAAGGTTATACGAGCTGTATGATGAAAGATCATATAATAGTAGTGTTATATTTAGAGATTATGTAAAAACATATTCTAAAATATTTAAAAAAGTGTGCTCCACTGCTAAGGCTTTACATTTAAGCAACAAAATTAAAACTGCATCCGAAATTAAAATGACCTGGAGAATAATAAATAGTGAAACGGGCAAGGCCAAACCGCGCAACTCGGATTTTCAATTGAATATTAACAATAATTTAACGCGATCTGATCAAGAAGTTGCTATGGCTTTTGAGAAACATTTTACTGATGTTCCTTTTTTAACAACAAAATCATTAAATTCTTCTCCTTCTGTCGCCGAATCTTTTTCCGAATCATCAACGTAAGCCGTTTAAATAATTAACAGTATGACACTTGGTTTGGTGATACAGTAGAGTATGAGAAACAAAATTACTGTTAACATCATCCAAACCAAGTGTCCCCTGATACTCAAAACGAGGCTGTTAACCGATTCCAAGAGTCCCACAGAACTTCCAAATATCGGCATAGGCGGAGGAAATTATGTTATCAATAATATATCGGCGTTTAGCGTTGCGTATCATCTGATTACAACAATCCCTAGCTTTATATAGGTTCCATCTCTCATCACTCTGCTCTTTTCTAAAACGTTGAAAAGCCTGGTACCTACACCTCATGGCTATGCGAACACCTCTCGTCGTCCATGGAGTAGGTGGTCGCTTGACTTTCACTCTCTTGACTGGAGCATGTACATCATAAAGCTTGAAAAAATTGTCATTAAACGCATCGACTTTCTCATCCACAGTGGGGGCGCCCACCACTCTGTCCCATTTTTATTTAGACGCATCTAAACACAACGCTTCTAAATACATACGACCAAAACATCGCATGAGCAGGATTTTAGGCAGCAATTTAGAAGCTTTTAGGACATGAAAAAAGGAACATGAGGTCATGATGGTACAAGCCAGAAGCAAGGTGTTAAAATTAGCACACGAGGGTAGGGGAAGATGTAACGATTAAGTCGAGCCTAGTGTCATTTCCATCAATATTGTGATGAATGCCTTGTAACGGAAGGATGTGGATACCAACTGACTCGACAATATGAAGAAGTTTAGAAGAACGGGATGAGGTGGGAACCAAGAGGCAGACCTTTTACTCTGACAGAGTACTGATATTGAAGTCGTCCATGATGATGTGATGCGTGTATTCCAACCCTAAAGTTTCCAAAGTCATTTCGAGATTGGAGAAATAATCAACAGAAGGGGACAATAAACAACACCGAGAACCAGTTTAATTCCCTTCACACATACCTCGAGAAAAAGAAACTGCAGAAGCGGAATAGGAGGGTGAGGAGAAGGCTAGGATTTTGTAAGAAAATATATAGCAACACCACCCCCTCTTCTCTCCGCACGATCATTGCATATCAGAGTAAAGCCAGACAGAGAATAAGTGGTCAAAGAGTCCAGCATGCTCTCACACCAAAATGCAACCGAGCTTTGCCAAAAACAGTCTGTCGTCCCTTTGTCAGAAACTCTTTCACTTTGAGACATTGTATAGTACCCAATAAAATAACAATGTGTTAATAAAACTCAAATAAGTAATGTTAAGTGTGACGTGCTGGCAGGTGGTGTATTTAATAACAATCACTTCACATGTACACTGTTGAATTTACGTAAGTACTGTATATTAACGGACTCAAGCACTCAAAAATTATGTAATTTATAGTAAATTATTGTTTTATTAATTTAAAATAAGGTCTCAAAGCGTAAATATGTGTTAACTTTCTATTCATCTACCGCCAAAATCTCATTATAATGAGATTATCTTATTTCAGTTATTTCCATATTATATGGGATGGGCTCATGGGATTAAGATACATGACTGATTTAGGATTTTTTAGCTTTTAAGAGACCTAGTCTAGCAGAGAAATTTTTGAATTATAATTAGTCTAAGAATTAAAAATGTGATTAATGTTTCCTCACAAAAACAAAAAGTTTTATAAAAATAAGATTAACCTTCTGAAAACACTAAACATTAACATAAAAAACACAAGCTAGCTAATTTATTCATGGGGCAATGTAATAAAGTTTCAACTCAAAATACTTAATTTTTGTTTGTTTAAGAATTCTAATTTTAAATTAGATTTATTTTAAAAACTCTTTTTTCAATATTAGTCATTTGTTTATTGATTAGCATTATGTTTTCATCGCATTTCAATCTTTATCGTTATCATGGATACGTGGCAGCAACGCGGCACAAGCGGCACGCAACATCAACGACGTCAACAGAGCGAATGCTACAAAGTACAAACGAAAGCACCACCTATTATTGGTTTGCCCGATTCCGCTCTGGAAATGTCGACCTGAAAAATGAACCCTGTGGTCGTCCGAAAACTTTGGTCGACAATGACGAATTGAATGCTGAAGGCTGAATTAGCAGCAGCTTTCGACGTTAGCATCAAAACAATATCCATTTACGTCAAATTGGCAAGCTAGAAAAGCTTTACAAATGGGTGCCTCACGAACTCAATGCTCGAAAGCGCAAAGTACTCGTCGAGACGTACTGCTCAACAGGCATACAAAATAAAGAATTTTAAACCGCATTGTTACCTGCGACTAAAAATGGATTCTGTTTGACCATCGCAAGTTCTCAGCAAGTTGAATGGATCCTGGCTTAGTACCTAAACAATGCCCTAAACGAAAACTTACACCTCGAAAAGTGATGTTCACTACTTGGTGGTCTAGCGCCGGTGTATTTCATCAAAGCTTCTTACCAAACAGGGCAAATATTATTGCAGATGAGTACTATAAAGAACTGAACACAATTATGGAGAAGTTCGCACGTCCCCAACCAGCTTTGGTCAATCGCTCGTCCCCGTTGCTCGACAACGCGCGACCTCATACTGCACAACAGACGGTCTCCACGTTTCAAGAGCTGGTGTTGGAAGCTCTTCGTCATTTTACGTACTCACCAGACCTTGAGCTTACAGATTTCTACTTTTCCAGAATTTGGATAACTTTTTGGCGGAAAAAAATCAATACCCGAGAGGCAGCACAAAATGACTTTGAAGAATTTGTTGCCTCCCGTCGAGCTGATATCTTCAGATAGGGCATCAATAAACTGCCACCGAATGGTTAGAGGCACACTGAAATTAAACGTTATGTTGGAGAGGCCTCGTCTAATTAAGTCAACGCTCCGTCCCCCTCATGCTCTATTCCAAAGTCCTGAAACCTTTCAGCTCGAGGTACAAAACCGTTTTCAATGCCTAGAAAACTGCAATGAAGTGGACGATATGAATGATAAGCTCGTGGAAACTGTCCATGCGGTCGGAGCTAAGTTCTGCAAGACCCGCCGCAGAAGAAGACAAACACTCTCCGATCACACTCTTAATCTCATGGCTCTTAGACGGGAGATGAAGCTACATTCTTCAACAGATTTGTCAAATACATGCATACAGGCAACTGAAAAGACAGATCTCCAAATGCATGCGGCGGGACTTACGCAACTTCAATTCAGCTTGTATTGAAGAAGCGATCGAGCGGAACCAAGGCTCCAAAGTCTTTGCCAGAGATCTGTCTGCCAGAAAAAGCCAACTGTCAAAGCTGAGGACCGAGTGTGGTAGCATCGTTTCCGGGGCACCTGAGATTTTGAGTGAGATTGAGAGGTTCTGTGGGCAGCTGTACACGTCATCGTTGGAGCCACACGCAAGTGTGAGTAACGATTCAAGAGCGAGTCTAATCCCACACTATTCCGAAGATATCCCGGACGTCAGTCTGAGCGAGATTAGAATGGCTCTCCAGCATCTTAAAAACGGCAAGGCCCCAGGCGAGGATGGAATTACAGCGGAGCTTCTGAAAGCGGGTGGAAGACCGGTACTTGAAGTCCTTCAGAAGCTCTTTAATTCCGTCCTCCATGGTGGCATTACACCGGAAGCGTGTAGCAGAAGTGCGGTGGGCTTGTTCTTCAAGAAAGGTGACAACGCTCTCTTGAAGAACTACAGACCGATTTCCCTTCTGAACTGCGTCTACGTGCTGTTTTCGAGAGTCATTACGAATCGTCTCGCGCGCAGACTTGACGACTTCCAGCCTCCCGAACAAGCCGGTTTTCGAAAGGGCTTTAGCACCATAGACCACATACATTCCCTTCGGCAAGTTGTACAGAAGTCCGAGGAGAACAATTTGTCACTATGTTTACCTAGGACAAATAGTCCGACTAGGTAAGTCCAACTTCGACCGAGAGGTCAATCGACGGATTCAACTCGGCTGGGCAGCGTTCGGGAAACTACGACACATCTTCTCGTCAGACGTTCCTCAAAACCTTAAAACGAAATTGTACAACCAGTGCGTGTTGCCAGTGATGACTTACGGATCTGAGACGTGGTCCTTCATTGCTGGCCGTATGAGGAAGCTCAAGGTCGCTCAGCAAGCTATGGAGAGGGCTATGCTCGGAGTTTCTCTACGTGATAAACTTAGAATTGAGGATATCCGCAGTAGAACCAGAGTGACCGACATAGCCCAACGGATTAGTAAGCTGAAGTGGCAACGGGCTGGCCATATAGCTCGAAGAACCAACAACCGATAGGGAAGAAAGGTTCTTGAGTGGCAGCCTCGTACCGGTAGGCGAAGTGTAGGGCAACCATTCATGAGATGGAGTGTCGACCTGGTAAGACATGCAGGAAGTTGATGGATGCAGGTGGCTGAGGACCGTGCTTTGTGGCCTTCCTTGGGGGAGGCCTATGTTCAGCAGTGGACTTATAAAAGGCTGTAATGATGATGATGATGATGATGATGCGTTAGCAAAGATGCATTGATTGCATGGGTCATTACTTTGATTAATAGAAATACAATAATATAGAAAAAACATTACGTTAACATATTTCTTAAAAAACGGCAATTTCATTGGTAAAGGCCTTAATATAAGCTTCTAAAACAAAGTCATAGAAATTCTTAGATACAGAGAGAGTAAATAATCTAAGTGGAAATTACACAAGGTCTGTCAATCACATTGTTTAAATATTGTAAATCAAACAAGGACGTTATTAGAACGGTTATTATAATGTTAATGAATACCATCATGGGTATTAATAACCTCTGGGAATAAGGTGATCGTTTCCAAGCTATTTTTAAATAAATTTTATAATTAAATATTACTTATATATTTCATTAAAATTTCAGAAAAAAAGTAAAGAATTATTTAAATTAATACTAAGTTATAATCTATGCTAAATAAAAGTTGTTCTTTTTCATTCTAACTAACACTAGTACTTATATACCACAACAGTGAGCCAGAGGAATTTTCGCTGCGCTTCTTCGTTTACCCGAACCTGACATTCAGAAAGGAGAAACCTGTCGCGATCGGTGCCCACTGATGGTATGGTAATAAAGATTTTTAGAATATTAGATTAGAAATATTTTATAGAAGTTTGCCATATTCGTCGGTATTTTATACGCTTTCATCGTTATGAACTTAGTGATTCTAGAAATAATGATTACACCATCCGTGTTATCGTTCTAAGACCTAACGCACATGAGTAAAGAAACCGACCAGAGAGGAAGCTACATACAAACGTATCGCTGCGGGTTCACCCACACATAGCGCAGCGATGTGTGCGTGAACTCTCACCGGCAGGTTCACGACTCTCACAAGTGCAAGCTGGTTTGCGCCGGCTCATTCCGGATATGAATGAAAGGGCTGTTGGTCGTGATCATTGAAATAAATAGACGAATAAATTTGGTGAAAAATCAATTAATTTATTAGGTATTTTTACAATTACAGTTAAGTTTAGAGATTGTGTTCTATAAAATAAGACAATGTAGGTTTATATAGGTAAATAATTAGTGCTCTATATAAGCATAAATACAGATGTACAGTAAATAATGCAATCGCCAGACAGTGGTGGAGGTGATGTTGGTGGTAGTGGTGCTGATACTGGTGGTGGTGGAGTGTGGTGCTGACTGTGCTAGTGTTGGTGGTGGTGGACAATGGTGCTGATCGTGCTGGTAATGGTGTCAGTGGTGGTACCGGTACTGGTAGTATCATTGGTTATGGCGGTGGTCACTGGACCATAACTGGCACCTCCACTATCAATGCCACCACCACAGACATTACTACCACCACCACCACCATTAACACCACCACCACCAACACTGACCACTACCACCACCGCCGACACTGCCCCCTACTATCATCACAGTCATTACCACCACCACCTTATTTTTTGTACTCATGAATACATTGTCTTACGAAAATTATATTGATAAAAATATAAAATGTTAAGCTTCTTTGAGAATACCTATTTACAGCAAGCGCTTAGCCCCTGATCTATTGAAATATGTATATTTTGCTTATTCAGTAGTAGGTAGTTTCAATTTAAGTTACAAATAATCGAAGACGTATTAAAAAACTACTTTAAAAACATCTTAGCAAATAATGGACATGGTGTTATATTAACTTAAGTTACAATGAATACACATGTTGTTTTATGCTATATAATCTTTTTTGTTTAAATTTTTTTCATTCTATCAGAATAGGTATACATTTCCGACTTCGTTAGGAAGCTTCCCCTATGGCAGGGGTCGGCAACCTGCGGCTCGCGAGCCACATGCGGCTCTTTGGATGTAAAGCTGCGGCTCTTTAGTTTCATACGCAAATAATATTTATTTTATTTAAAAAAATGTCTATATATGTCTATATTAAAATTAATTATTTCAGAAACTCTTTATTAGCAAATGTATTATTTATTATAATAATAAACCTTTTTTTTATACAGTCGACAATGGCATATAGTAGTTGTTTATGAATTTTGTAAACTTGTTAATAGATTGGCTTAATTTTTTTCAAATTAATTTGTAAAAGCATATAATATGTATATACATACACTTCCTAAGCCACTTTCATTTACCTAATATACAAAGTTAAATATCCCTAAAAATTGTGTATGAATAGATGTTTAAAAAATAAGTCACCAGGGTACATATCGTATGATTAATTGAGAAATTTTCTCCAATTTCTGAACTCAAGTTATTGAAGAATTTCACTTTTTACGGAATTTGTTTTATATTTTAATTCGTTCTCAGGTCCTATAAATGTAACATCAGGGCTGGCGAATGGCAACATTGTGAAAATTAATCCCAATGGTACAGGAAATAACAATGAAACAAATTATTGCGAAGGTGAAGAAACGGTATAAGCCATGCTATGTGAAAAATGAAAGTTATTTTATAAAATAGATTGCTTTTATTACTAGATGTTTTGTAGAAAATATACTTAATAAATTGAGTATAAATGTAACAGCAACTTTTCCAAATTTCAAGCTTACATGCACGTGGTGATCTGCTAGTAAATGACATGCGAATACAAGTAGTAGTAATAAACGACATTCGAAATGCGAAACCAAAATTCCACACTGATGATGTGGTGCAGTATTACCATTGCAAGGGTTACTGCCAACGAGTACGGTCAACGTTTAGTCGCGGGCGCTTTTCTTAAAAGGGCCTGCGCAGAAATAGAAAAAATAAGGCTATGAAAATAGTAAAAGTAAACGTATTAAAAACTTACATGATGACTTTTTTAATGTTGTAAAAGTGTTTTCGATGTTGCAAAATAATTAAAAGTTTCTACCTAATTACTTTAAAGTACTTGTTTAAAATATTGACTCACTATTAATTATTTTAACATGAAATTTTTTGAAAATTATCTTGATCTGTGACTTTTTTCTAAAAGATTTGTTTTATAATACATAGAATTGTATTTTAAAAATTGTAAATATTATTTTATTAAAAAAGAACAAATAAAAAAATCTTGTATATATTCTAATTATTTTATCATCCCTATTAAAATTCTCTGTATATACTCGTATCTAATATATAAAACTAAAATTTTGTTTGTTTGTATTTTATGCGCTGCCATACCGTTCTGATGAACGGTAGTTGACAAAGTTTTACAATTTAAACTTTGTCAACTTATTGCTTATCGCGAAGGTTATAGGCATAGTACAATTAACTTACAGTAATAATAATAATAATAATAATAGTTTCATTTGTCTCAATTCACACATGATAGTTAAAAGAATACAAAAAACTTATCACAAACTTATCTAGAAACATACTTAAGTAAAAACATACATAAAACAATGAGACAAACTGGCCTGTGACTCAGCTATGTGGTGATTTAGGTAAACTATTAAGTAATCTATGATTTAGGTCACCGCTGGTAGTCTGCCATAGCCAACTTTTAAAAAACACAGTATCTTAACCTAATCTTAGCATTGACGTGAAACAACGTAAAGAAAAGACTGAAATGTATAAACATGCTATGTAAATCGGCAAATTTATATAATATGATACGTGTATCCCAACAACAAATTTATTGGAAAGTTATATATTATTTAACTTTAATGAACGTATCTTTTATATAGGATAAGGGTGCCAAACGAACACACAGTCCACTTGATGGTAAGTAGTTACTGTAGCTCATAGACATCTACATCTATCCTTGTTTACGAATCAAAATGCAGATGCTTTGTCACCCGTGAGGACTAAAATAAAATGCCTCGCTTCCAGTAAAAAGGGTCACTGGTTCTCTACACTTATCATACGAAACACATCAGCGTTAAGCTGCTATTTTAAGCTGGTATTATATTAGAGCGTGGTCCTTCCCCGGTCGAGCCAACCCATTCGCCATCCAAATTGAAGTTGAAGACAAGTATGTTTACCGGTGACAAATAGTCCGATAAGGTGAGTCCAAATTCGACCGGAGGTCAATCGACGGATTCAACTCGGCTTGGCAGCGTTCGGGAGATTACGGCACATCTTTTCGTCAGGTATACCTCGAAACTTAAAAACCATATTGTACAACTAGTAAGTGTAGCCATTGATGACTTATGGATCTGAGACGTCGGATTTCACTGCTGGACGTATGAGGAATGCTATGCTCGGAGTTTCTTTCCGTGACAAACTTGTAATTCATGATATCCGCAGTCGAACTAGACTAACCGGCATAGTCCAACCGATTAGTAAACTGAAGTGGCAGTAGGCCGGTCATACATAGCTCGAAGAACCGACAACCGATGGGGAAGAAAGGTTCTCCAGTGGCAGTCTCGTACCGGTAGGCAATATGTGGGGCGGTACCCCACTAGTTGGAGTGACTACCTGGTAAGACATGCAGGGAATCGATGGATGCAGGTAGCTTAAGACCGTGCTTTGTGGCATTCCTTGTATCTGTATGTGGCTATGTTCAGCAGCTATGATGATGAATTATTTTCAGACAATAAATAAAAAAATTACATAGCAAATAATTATATATTTAAATGGGGAAATTTACATTGTCATTTATTGTCAAAAATATTCGCGCGCACTATGTAATGGTAATGTGTTACATTTTAAGTCAGGAAAGTTAACGTGGTGGCCAAAAATTATACGAAAGTGAATCTTTACTGCTCTTGCAAAGACAAGGACGCGCATTCACCACCCAATCGGAGTACAATTTTGGTAGCAAACTAAAAGCGTTAGAATGTGTTAGACTTTGGACAGTTCACCACTCTTTCACATGGAAGTGGTCGAGGTGGTCATTTAGTAATAAGTGCGGCGGTCGAAAATGCAGTGATGAAATTTTTCGAGCGAAACCTCCGCGTTAGCGCGAAAGACGTAGCTCGAGAATTCAGAGTTAGCCAGTATTACATATGGAAACTACTGGATACTTCTGGATATCACCCATTTCACTACCAACGTGTGCAATAACTGAATAAGAACGATCGCTAACCTCGAAAATATTTTTGTGAACGGTTGTCGTCCGACATTGATAATAGTAACATTATGTGGACTGACGATGCCCTATTTACGCATGTAGGGCTTTATTATAGTCGTAACGAATATTAATGGGCAGTATGCAACCCACACGCTATAAAAGTGTCGACAGTATATATTAGTGTTAAGTTAGAATAAGTTTAGTGCAGAAGCATTAAAGTCTTAAACTGAGCAACACATCTCCTCTTCATTTACAAGTAGCAGCTTCAAACATTACACGGCGACCCTGCTAGGCGGTGCGCTGTGTTATAAGGAGTAACTTAGGCTACTTCTATTATAGTAAAAGAATTAGGGTTACGCGTGAAAAAATTAAAACCCATGAAATCCAATCATAACAAAATCCACGCGGGCGGATTCGCGGGGAACAGCTAGTAAGTGCATAAAATCTAACTTAATTTATAATTATTGTATTATGATTATTTTTTCAGATACTGTAATAAAATATTAAAAAATCATTTTAATCGTGAATTATCTGATAAATACTTTCAATTTAAACGTAGTTATATTATCATCATTCATCATTA